ACATTACCCCAGACGCTGGAGGTTGTAATGTTCCACTCGCCCGGTAGGATAATGCTACACAAACAACATTACAACCTCCATCGCCTGGGGTACAGAGACATATGAATAGGATTATAACATCTGCCTAGAATTTGTAATGGAGTCGTTTTCGTATGTATCAAAGCTCCAATAACTGAAAGTAATGAGAAATTACTAGCACCGCAGCTAGACGTTAGTGCAGTGGTGTATAGCGAGTCAAACACTTCGCAGATTCTCACTACTTATTGATTGTATAATTATCCATAAAAAAGTTTAACATAGTAGAAATCTGTAAATGTCCTTTTTTTCTTATAGGGTAAAAAAGTCAAGAATAAAAAGAAAGTTCGAATTGCCGAGGCAGAAGACAAATCAAATTCAGGTGACGATTTCCGCGTATCAATCAACAGACAGCGTAAAATGTCCATTGGAGCTTCTCAGTATAGCAGCAGTTCAGATGATAACAGTGACGACGAGATTGAACTATTTAATAAAGAAACAATAAAATAATGGTCTTTTATAATATTTCATTGCGTTGTGTTTTTTCCTCAAAATAGACTAAACACTTAATTGGAGTTGTATTAGCTATAACTATAACAATAGTACTAACTTTTTGCTGGTTTTGCGGGCAACAACTCTCGACAAGTCTGTTTAATTAGGCTAGTGAAGACAACAGATGCCTTTACCTATATCCCAAATAAGGTGTCGGTTTCTTTAACTCCCTGCCTAATCCCAGCTGGCTTCGATACATCTATTATACATCATGGAAGAAAATGTAATTTCTGTTACTGCATTTGCTATAAAAGAAATGCAACTCAAATATAAATGCATATATTATCTTTTTGTTTTATTTTCAATAATTTTATAAAACTTTACTGACCTTGGACCTAAAAAGAAATGTGACATCTTTTTTTTACGGTAGAAACAAAGCATATTCTATTCTATATGCTGCAATCCCACAAAGTAAGTTGTTCTATCCTCGGGGGCGGAGCTACGTCACGGACGTTCTACGTTGCTAAGACACGCACCACTGTACCACGTATTTCTATGGGCTTTGTGCTCGCTGCTGTGGAACGCCGGTGGAGCCGGTGAAAACTCGAGAAAACAACACAAACTCAACTTTGAAGTAATCCTGAGAAACCAAATTCATATATGTTACACACGTAGGGCTAATCTTGTTACACTGTTCAGGGGACTCTCAACAACCATCGCAAAGTACCGTTTTCTGTGAGTTTTTGGTCTTTGTTTTCACCGCGAAGGTTGCCAGGCGGTAGAAAATGCCCGGATGTCCGCCCCGAGGATATCTTTGAATATATTATGGCACAATAAAAAAATATGACAAAGTCACGTGCCTCTAAAGTAGTGTGACAGCATGTTCCCAGCAGATAAATCTTGGTCGTATATTCTGGATTCTTCAAGTTGGAATGAGCGTGTAAAAAAATGGTTAGACCAGATATGGTTAATAATTGCTCTAGTGTCTTTGCGACTCGGGACATTTTGCCAACAAGCGACACTGTCTTGGGAATGAATTGGGAAACAAAAATGAACCAGCACAGCAGGCTAGCTGTATAAGTTTGATTGACGTCATTTGTATGCATTTTAAATTGTACGAAATATTCAAACATCACTTTAAAACGTTATTTACATTGGACACGTTTTTGAAACCATTTAACATAAATAAATCAACAATTATTTGGTCTCTGAAACGTCTGGTGCGAACAATTCAAATAGGTTTGGTGAAGGTGCTAGCGCCACCACAGTTAGCTCAAGTGTTTATTATCACCCGACTCATTTACGACTATCCTGAATTTTGATCGCGAAATAACACTTTTATAAAAAGTGTATATTGTTTTTGTTCTATTATTTTTCTCCTGTTAATTTTTTTGGGGATTCGGCTGTAAATCCAAAACAGAAAGACAGAAAGTAGTGTATTGGCAGAATTTGTTTGAACAAGTGCTTGGACAGTATACTAGTACTGGGTATACAAGATTTCTCACATATCTCTGGGTTGATTACATCTTTTTTTAATGAAAATCCACATTTATGTGTTTACATAAGATCATACAGGTCTGTATTTGTGATTATTCAGGGGCTGATACAGGATTTTTTCATGGGGTGGGGGTGGGGGGTCCAAAGTTTAAAATTGCCAGACTAAGTTAATGATTTTTTTATATTATACAAAAACAAATTGAATACATTTTCAATGGGGGTCCGGGGGGGGGGGGGGTCCGGATCCCAAGAACCCCTCTAGATCCGCCACTGTTATTACAAGAGCTTTAAAACAAATAAAAGTTATTGGGTTAGGGGTAATATCTAGCCATAAACGAGTCCCCCCCCTCACCTACAATATAAGTACAAACACCAATAAACCAATTTGTGAAATCTACATACATGTGAACAGTCAATCACCAAGACAACAGATCTTGCTTGTATAATGAAGCTATTTTATTTGCAGTTACCATGGACACAACTTCAACTTTACAAAGCTAGCATGACACACGCGTATACAGAAGTGTGGAAATTAAACATAGCCACAGAAACCTCTATTCATAATATGACATCCGTAATGACACAGTTTAACCATATACAGAAGATATTGTCCATCATATAACTTACATGTCCATAAAAATATCATAATATTGATAAAAATATATATTTAATAATTATATATGATATGTCAATTTTACGCATAATGGGAAGTTTTAGGCTTAACATCGAAGGCTTAAGCTGCGGGTAAATGTCCAGTCTTATCCACATCTTGACCATAAGACGTTCACCTTTAGTGACAATACGATTTACTGCACATGGAGGGACCTAATTATCCTATATAGATACCAATTGACTGCTTAGACAATCGACTATTGTTATCTTGCTCAGCGTAAAATTATGAAGTGACATTTATCTTAAAATTACACATCACTGTACAATAAACATAATACAAAACCATAACTACAACGATTATTTTCAACATTTAAATTGTCAAGACAATAAATTATATATTAAAGAATTATGAAATAAAGCTATCACAGATGAACTAATTGGTGTAAATTTCAGAAATGCAACAAGATACTGTGAAATGACTAATTTTCACTGGGTTTAAATTTCACTGATTACCATTTCAGGCATATTCAGTGGGTTTTAAATTCACGGTTTCGTCATTAAGATAATGTGTTCTATGCTAAATTTTACATATTCACTGTGTTTTAATTTAGCGCATTTTTCCAGTCAGCGAAATATGCTAAATTAAAACCCAGTGAATAATTACCCCCTTTACAGTACGTATAATATTTTGTAGCAGTCTGTTAATAAATATGTTCCAGAACTTTGACTGCACCTAGCCACTACTGTGAAGTACTTTATTTTAGCTGGAATAAATTCGGGATGTTTTGTATGAAATTTATTTTCACTGATTTGCGATAATAAAATAACAGCAAAAATAACAGTGAAAAAGTGAAAATAAAGTATGCTTGTTCAGAGTACGAGTAAAATGGTCACATGCAATGAAAGCTCTGGGGTAGCCAAGTTAGGATAGAATGGCTTTTCCAAACTTTAACGGTAAATTCAATTTGAAGAGTTTTAATAAGAAACTGCTATTCTATTCTTACATATTCTTATATGTATATACATTGGGTTGAAATGGGTATACATAGTGTATTATCAATTCATTGGACGGGGGGAAAAATGAAGTTTTAGTTAGATTTTAGCAAGTCTGTATTTATACTGTATTACTCTTAATTCAAACACCAATTTTCGTATATCAAAAAATTTTATTTACTTTTCTAGAAACTTCAAGATTTTATAATTCCCTGTCATAAGGATCTTCGCACTGCTACAATATTTCATGATTTTCTAAGTCTGAATACGTGTTATTCTTATATTTGTTCTATCCCTCACAGCCGATTCAAATTGGCAATTTGTAAGTTCAAAGACTGCATTTTAAACTGGTCATGGTGCATAAGATGAATGTACCATTTGTGCCATGTCAGATTTTTGATATTGAAATGGGCGCACTATCCCCATCGCATAGTCATGGTTAATCTATACATATATCAAAATATTAACAGAAAAATTGATTATGCCACACTGGTTCAATAGATAAATACTGCCCCCTAAATACTGCCCCCAATGGTCATTTTGCAAAGGAACAAATACCGGTACATCAAATTTAAATTACTGATGAATTTTATTTAATTAAACAAATAAATTTATAATAAATAACAAATATTTGTTAATGTTATTATAATTATCTTGGCAGTTTATAACCTGGCAACTCACCATAAGATTTGTACACTAATTTTCGAGACCACTAAATTCCATCATTCCAAAACTTTATTTTTTAAAGGCAGCATTCACAACTACAGGAGCGAGCAATTAATTTTAATCAACAGGGCTGTATTAGATTTGTCCTGTCCTGTAGATAACCATTAGAATGAACAGCACAGTCCAAGTGTAACATAATATTTAGCTAGCTTTGAGTCAGAGCTTGCTTTTAAAACCACCATATAAATAAATTGTGCAGTGTAATTCACCTAAATATGCTCCATATTAGTAACATAGGGTAAATATTACAACAAATAATTTAAATTATTGACGACGATAATACTAACTTTACGAATTTTAATTTGTTATGAAAAGACAAATCCAGCTATTAGGAGTATGCTTAGATGTTGAGTCAAACTTGGACTGTTTTGTAATCACATTGTCAGTGTTTTACGCATTTTCTAATCGTCTTTCAACTTTCATATATATCCTAATTTCCATTTACCCCATATTTAATCTTGGGAGTGAAATACTGTAACGCATTTTATCTTTGTTGCAAGTAATTTTCAAGTTTTGAAAATTAAATTACATTAAATAATGAAGACAAAATATACTTCATTGCTATAAAAATTCACAATTTTCACCGACTCATGAAATTTGCAAAGAATTTGTCTCTCGCCAAATCAATATAGTACATACAACAACAATTCCATGTTCGAAAAAATAATCAAAAACAGTCTGTAGATGAAAATAAATACCATCAACAAAACAATGTATCTGTGGTATAAAGGTGGTTGACATTGCAATAAAGAATTTACCATATGGGTTTCTTTGTATGCAAAACAACACAAATGACTGCTGGTGAAAATACACAAGATTCGGAACCTTTTCAAATGTACACATCTGCAATGAGCACGGCCCTTTAATAATAATATTTAAAAATGTATTTCAGAACCTAAAAAAAAAAAATTGATAATAATACCATTTGAGGTACCAGTACTATTATATTCAGTCAGTTTATACTTTTCCATTTGTTGAAAATTCTTGCCTTTTCCATGAGGGCGCACATACAATATAACAAACTAACAACGCAAATGTCACGAAACACAATCCAGCCAGGTTACCAATTATACCGGTTAGCGGGAAGTAATGATAGTTGTCAGAACTGAAAAAGAACAAAAAAAAGAAAGCCCCAGAGACTAGGTATTAGTAACAATGCATGGTTTTAGTACCAGTATTTGATACTTTCAAATAAACTGATATTTTGAGACACATTTAGTGAATTGCGAAAAACGCAGTACAGTTTGAATCTTTGTTTGTTAAAGTTGTATTATGGGATATATTTGTTATGTACATTCGTCAAAAAGTGGCATGTGTTATGTATAGCATTTGTTATGTACCATATTATTCAAATTGCAATCACATGGTATGTACTGGATTATTAAAATCACATCATTCAAATCAAATGTGTTATGTAAATCATTCAAATCAAATGTGTTATGTACATCGTTCAAATCAAATGTGTTGTGTACACTATTCAAATCAAATGTGTTATGTACATTATTCAAATCAAATGTGTTATGTACATTATTCAAATCAAATGTGTTATGTACATTATTCAAATCAAATGTGTTATGTACATTATTCAAATCAAATGTGTTATGTACATTATTCAAATCAAATGTGTTATGTACATTATTCAAATCAAATGTGTTATGTACATCATTCAAACCACATGTGTTCTATGTATTGCATCAATCAAATCACATGAGCTGTGTTTCATGACAATTTTATGTATCCCAGATAAAAAATAAATCAGTCAATGAGTGCCATGTTCTGATAAGCAAAATGACGTAACTACTGATTTTAGTTCATACAATTTACTCCATACAACTTACTTCATCAGATAATACAACTTTAATGTGGGAGGGTCGTCACCTGTGCACACGTAGGAATTGAGTCCCAAGCGACGATAACAACACACGCTAAAAACGCAAAGGCCCATGGGTAGACGCTTGTTTGTAAACAATGACACGATATGGCCACCTGACGCATGCATAGGTGACGACTCCCCCGCTTTAACCTATGTGTAAAGCAAAACGATTCAAACATGTTTCCCAATATATAATACAATTTTAACATGTTATACAAAATGCAGAGTACCAGGTCATACATGGTAATTAAGTCAAGAAGAACATGATATTTAACGATGCTCGAAAGCCTCTAGGAAGAACACGTACAGTAATAGAAAGACAATATATGCACACATCAGGCAAGTCATTATATTTTTCAATATTTAAAACACAGAGTGATGACGGTTTAGTTTTTGATTGCTGAAACATGCGAGCGAGATATACACTGACATCTAGAAAGGGTGAGGTTGACATGACATGCATTACCATAAGAAACACCATGCATTAAAAACATGACACCTAAATGACAGTCACATGACATCTAAATGAAAGTCGCATGACATGTAAATGAAAGTCGCATGACACCTAAATTACAGTCACATGACATCTAAATGAAAGTCACATGACATCAAAATGAAAGTCGCATGACATCAAAATGAAAGTTGCATGACATCTAAATGAAAGTCGCATGACACCTAAATGAAAGTTGCATGACACCTAAATGAAAGTTGCATGACATCTAAATGAAAGTCGCATGACATCTAAATGAGAGTCGCATGACACCTAAATGTAATTCACATGACACCTAAATGAAAGTCGCATGACATCTGAATGAAAGTCACATGACATCTGAATGAAAGTCGCATGACATCTAAATGAAAGTCGAATGACATCTAAATGAAAGTCGAATGACATCTAAATGAAAGTTGCATGACATCTAAATGAAAGTCGCATGACATCTAAATGAAAGTCACATGATACCTAAATGTAATTCACATGGCACCTAAATGAAAGTCGCATGACATCTAAATGAAAGTCGCATGACATCTAAATGAAAGTCACATGACACCTAAATGAAAGTCACATGACACCTAAATGAAAGTCACATGACACCTAAATGTGATTCACATGACACCTAAATGAAAGTCGTATGACACATAAATGAAAGTCTCATGACATCTAAATGAAAGTCGCATGACATCTAAATGAAAGTCGCATGACACCTAAATGAAAGTCACATGACACCTAAATGTAATTCACACGACATCTAAATGAAAGTCGCATGACACCTAAATGAAAGTCACATGATACCTAAATGTAATTCACATGACACCTAAATGAAAGTCGCATGGCATCTAAATGAAAGTCACATGATACGTAAATGAAAGTCACATGACACGAAAGTCACATGACACCTAAATGAAAGCCACATGGCATCTAAATGAAAGTCACATGACACCTAA